GGTACAGCACTGGTTGAACAACTGGGAGATAAAGTTAGGGAGGCCAGACTGAGATGGTTTGGACATGTCCAGAGGAAGGACAGTGGTTTGGACATGTCCAGAGGAAGGACAGTGGTTTGGACATGTCCAGAGGAAGGACAGTGGGTATTCTGGTAGAAGGACGATAGAAATGCAGCTGCCAGGAAAAAGACAAAGAGGAGATCTATGGATGCAGTTAGAGAGGACATGAAGGTAGTTGGAGTGAGGACAGAGTGAGATGGAGGAGGACTCACTGTGCAGACCCCTGAAGAGGGAAAAGCCGAAAGAAGATTTCCTCATTTCCTGTCTGGTGTCAGACTTGAACAGACGCATTAGTTTTTCTTTTCAACATCTACACATCTTCTACAGATGATGTTAAGAACCTGAGGATCAGCACTCCTCCTTTAACTGTCTCTGTTTCCTGTTGTAGAGTCAGCTGAGCACCAGGTGACCTCTTTCAGACCGCGGTAATGTTTGCAGAAAGAGACGAAACCTCCTCAGAACTCCTCTCGTGCTGCAGACTCCAGCTGAGTGTCAGTCTGCTGAGATGAAACAGGAAGTGCAGTTCATCTTGTTTGTGTCTGTTTAAACAGCCTCAAACATCTGGAGCTGCTCAGCTGCAGATTATCTTCCTCTTTCCTGATTCCTCTGTAGACTTTGTGCCTTTTTTAAGTCCTTCATAAAATCAAGTTGTTCAGCTGATTCAGGAGATGACTTTCACCTTTAAACTTTTTAAAATGTTTAACTTTTATTTATTTTTTTACGAATACCTTCCCTTTACAAATTCACTAAGATCTCTTTAATTCTTTCGCAAACATTTAGTCTTTAAAATCTGCATCGGAGCCTTCTTATGCTGCATTTAGTTTGGCTACTTTCAATTTCAAGCTAGCTTTTTGCTACTTTAGACTAGCTTTTTGCAGCTTGTAGCTTTTAGCTACACTTTCGTTGCTTCTACCTAGACATTTGGTACTTTTCTAGTAAGCATTTTGCTGTATTCAGGTTACATTTTCCTACTTTTGTTTTTTTATTTAGTCATGTCTACTGAACTATTAGCTAGCTTTTTGCTACTTTAAGGTTTTAGCTAGTGTGCTACATTTAGCAAGCATTTTGCTATATTTGGCTTATAGTTAACATTGTTCTACTTTTAGTTTCTAGCTAGCCTTTGGATACTTTAGCTAGACCTTTGTAACATATAGCTTTTAGCTAACTATTTAGCTTCTTTTAGCTTTTTGCCACTGTTAGCTTCTAATTACTATTTTACTACTTTTAGCTATTAGCTAGAATTTTGATAGCATTTTGCTACTTTTAGGTTTAACAGCTACTTAGTGCCACAGCGAGTCATCTTCCTCCATCTCACTCTGTCCTCTACATCTTCTGTCCTCACTCCAACTACCTCCATGTCCTCTCTAACTGCAGCCATATATATTTTCTTTGTCGTTGTCCTGGCAGCTGCATTTCTAACATCCTTCTACCAATATACCTAATGTCCCTCCTCTGGACATGTCCAACACTCTGTCCCACCTATGGACATGTCCAAACCACTGTCCCACTTCTGGACATGTCCAAACCACTGTCCCACCTCTGGACATGTCCAAACCACTGTCCCACCTCTGGACATGTCCAAA